AAAACTTAAAATTGAATACACAATGATTAAAGCAAGTACCTTTTCTTTTGAGACCATTAAGAACCACTCTTGTAGACCTTGAAATTTTCGAATTGCTAATTCCAAGGTCATTCGAATTCACTTTCTTCCATTCCACAGTTTTTCTATGTGGAACAGCATCACTCGCCCTTTCCACAACTAAAAAAAAAAATCCTAAAGTATATTAATTAACTAAAAACGCATAACTAACTCTCAAATAAAAAACCTATAACAATCACTTGCCTTTTTCACTTTCTGTATCATCAAACGCTTCAATAGCTGCAGCACAGCCCAGTCTTACCTGCATAAACTAAAATTGCAAGTATGAAATTACAAAAGCGCATAAAATCATGTAATTGTGAAGATATGGATTCACCTTCAGAAAGCGCTGACGCAAAGGAGAGCAGAGAGGGAAATGGGGAAGGCGAGAAAATCCGAGGCCTGTTGAAATGGCCATTCATGAAGAAAAAAAATAAACAGAGTTCTCTTTCAGTTGAAAATTATAGGGTTTATCTGCTATGGGGTTTTGATAGTGCAACAAAAATATCCTAATCAAAGTCGCGTTTAAAAGTCGTCACGAAACACGTTTTGGTGAAATGGACTGGTAAAACTGGGCCGAGTTAATTAACAGGAAAACCCAATCTTCTAATGATTTGAGCGGGCCGATTATTTTTTGAAAGATAAACTTTCAAAAATAACCTAACAAAATGAACTATTGCCCAAAATACTGTACTCCTCCTTTTCCTTTTTGAATTATTCTACTCTACCAGATTTTGGTTCACAGATTTTGTACAGACTATCTCACATGAGGTGGGTCCCGAGGACCTAACTCATTAAAAAAACCCCCCAAAAATGTTAAAACACCCATCCACCCTATCTCACATGGCTGTGCCAGATCTTTTACAGACTTGGCACAGCAGCACAACTCCAAAATTAAACACACCCAAATGTTACACAATTCAAATATAAATACCTGGCACAGCAGCAGAACTCTTCCTTTTTTATACCAGAATACTGTTTTAATTATTTTTTACACCACTCTCTCTCTCTCCCCCTTTTTGTAATAACCGACGCCTAAGGCCCCCCGACTCGCATATTTTTTCTTTTTATTTCTTAAAAAAAAAATTAATCAGTAATAAATTAATAAATTTTATGAAAGATTTTTAGTTAGCATTATTGAAAAATAAATATTTCAACAAATTTAATTACCAAAAAAATTCCTCAATTAACAAAAATATAAAAATAAATAGTCACCAAAAATTTATCACAAACAAAATAAAATTTAAAAGATAATTTATAAAGAGATAATAAAAAGATATTTTAATTTATCCATGAGAAAACCTTAGGAGGCTAAAGCATTGTTGGTGATTTTCAATAATATTACTAACGACAATGTCTTTTAGTCCATCTGAATCACCAATATATACTAATTTCAATCGCAACCATCAACAGTAATCACCTACGACCGTTTCTTGATGATATTTTTAGGGAGAGTGAAATGAGATAAGAATGGAAGGGCACAAAATGGTGAAAGTGTATCTATGAAGGCCAATAATATTGTTGATAGTAATTTCGTCTAATAAATAATGGTTTTACTTAGAATCACAAACATCAATACACCGACTTATCAATACTTATTTGCTCTATTTATTTTTTATTATTGTTCTTGAAAAGTTTATATTGAAAATTTTGTCTAAGATCCTTAAATTGATTGAACAGTCTCTACTATCATCACTATCTGTACCATCACCACAACCATCAATCATCGTCATCCAACATGAACGACATCATCCACCCACCATCGTAGAAAAGCCACCACAAAACCGCCATCAATTATATCCCATCTTATCACCACCACCAATTCCATAAGACATCTCTCTCTCTCTCTCTCTCTCTCTCTCTCTCTCTCTCCTCTCCGCGCTATAATTAGTGATTGCTCGTGTAATAATAACACATTGTGAGCATTAGAACGTGAACATGACATGAATATAGTAGGGCTATCACGAGGATTTGGAATATCCGAACATATATCGGCAAACATGCTTCTAACAATCTTAAATACTCATCTTTGTAATTAAGAAAAGTAATTCAGTGATTCTATATAACTTAAGATGCTTTTTCTTTAAGTTATAATTCAACGTACAAAATGCGCCAATTATTATCCGCCTTTGATATTTCTCAACGTGTCGAAGACCACAATCAATAGCAACCTATCATTCTTATAGTTTCAGAAATTTAACAGTTGCCGTGCTTTTAGGGAGCTTTGTACTTCATGCACGGATATCAAATTCGTTTTCGTTTCTTATAGTTCCAAAAACATCATTTTCTCTCCCACTAAGTGTCAAGAGTACAATATCAACCTCTTAGGGTACTTGATTTTAATTTGTCACTTAGAAATCAATGGCAAAATTCGATTTTGCACGTTAAAAGATAAAGTATGTGCGATTTTGAATAACTCATTGATGCTGATATTTATCGAATAATATTTTGTTGACTCATCAAATCATGAAGGACATGTTAAGTACGTTGAATTAGACAAAATAATAGACAAATATCTCACATAAATTCTTTTCGTAATTATGTTTTTTATTTCTGTTCGATTCAACATGTAAAATTTATAAAAATTCACCTATGTTTTTACTTAAAAAATTCGTTCGAGATTACATAGAAGCACGGGGATGAACGAACGACTATTACTATAATTATTATTAAGGATTGAAAAAAAACATAAATATCAATTTGTATTGAGTTTTGACTCTTTGGATATAAACATAAGAGTTGTAAGGATTAAGGAACTAAACTGTTTTCCTTTATGTTCAGTGTTTTAGTTAATTTATATTGTTAGTGATAAGTAGGTTTTTATTGGTTGTGATTTTTTTCTGTTGGTCAATTGGTTTTTATAGTATTATTCAAAATCAATAATTTGTTTGCCAAACCAATTTTCACGTTTCCTTAAAATAATGAAATCTTGATAATTCTTATACAAACTAACTAGCTTCGATCTTGTGTTTGTTTAACGCTTCTCGCGGCATAAAAGGCGTTTAAAATTAGTTTTCTACACGACGTACAACCTCATTTTTCATAAATTTGAGGTTGTGAGACTTGTACTTCTTTATGTGTTGCTCTGCTACCATATTAAATCACGTCATCGTTTATTCACCCAACACAATCCATGGCAGTATAACTGCTGATTTGATGGGGGACTACCATCAAACATGGTGCCTTAGTTCCTATGTGTCTTCTCTAACCAAGTGCTTCTATTTCTATTTAATGTAATGTGGTGTAGAAATTGATTTGACATAGCTAGCTACCACATTTTGGGCGGTGCCTAAAAGTTTGAAACGAGAGATTTAGGCATTTCCATCATCGGGGCTGTTTGCAAAATTAAAGCGAATATCTGAGGAATAATTTGTATTCTTTTAAAGAATAAGGTCTAACTTGTTACTCTGCCAATATATTGGGGACCGCACTAGCAATTTAATATCAACGGGTAATAGTTTACAGAAAATGGATGGCTTACGTAAATCAAATAATAGTTATGAACAGTTTTTAATCGCAGGCACCCTAGTCCCTATACACACACAAATCTGATTCATTGGCCCAAAAAAGTAACTGACGTGCAACTTTAGTTACTTTTGATTAATTAATTGTACTTTTCAGTGGACGTCGGTATTATTCATAGAGTTATGCTACAATTACAGGGGAAAAAGTCATAGAAATTTTCCAGAAAACACACAAACATGTGGGGGCCCAATTGTTTTAACAATATTTAATTTAGGTGGGACCCACATCACATGTGAGTATCTGTATTTTTTCTGTGAAAAAATCTTCTGTACATTTGGCATAATTCTTATTCATATCTATCACGATGGAACTAAGTTGCGGGTTGCGGACTCACTACAAAAGCTCCTACTTTGGTGGTGGTTTAGTGGGCAGCTTTAGATTTTACATCCGTTTATGTTTTCCGATATGTCTTTTTAAGGGATAAAATTACATATCGAATAAAGATGCAAATATAAACTAACTTATAAAAGATTTAGTTACTCTTCTTAATAAGATTAACTTTTTAAAAAGAAACCTGAAATTTTAACATGGTATCAAAGTCCATTAAATTTTAATGAGCAATTCGATCCGATTAAGACTCCAAAAGTGAGCATATAATTTTTAAGATTGGTCTGTCCAAACGAGCAACCATCTTACGGGGGCATGTTAAGGGATATAATTCCACATTGAATAAAGATGTAAACATAAACTAACTTATAAAGGATTGTGTTACTCCTCTTAATAAGGTTGACCTTTTAAGATGGAATCCAAAATCTTAACATGTATAGCAGACCTAATTATAAGTTTTGTTGATGTGTTTCGACTTTGATGTTATTAATAAAACGTTGGGATAGATAGATTATGAATCCTGTAAAAATGTGTTAAGAAAATGTTTAAGTGCACCTACTAACTCCTATCTCACACGTTAAAAAAAATGAAAAATATAATCGTAGAAATGTCATTGATTTAATTGGAAATTTCTCTTCGGGTCATATCTTCAATAGCTCCAACTTCCTCATCGCTTAAACTATACATATGGAGACGGGGAGAAGAGAAATCGAGCCCTTTTCAAATTCGAAAATTCACTTCAAATACTATTTTCGTTTAAACTTTACTCGAGACAATAGTGGAGCCAAAGGAGGGATATCGGCTGCTCCACAACATTTTGAATTTTTTTAATATATACAAAATACACGTATATCTTGCCCATTCAACATTTTTTTGGTTTTTCATTAGGAAAATTCTAGCTCGGCCACTAATTTGAGAATCCCTTGTGTGTGTGTGTGTGACCAGTCAAACATATAGAGCAACAGGACAGATCCTCATTTTTATATAAACCAGACCTCTTCAGGATTTCTTATACTCAAACCCACAAATTCAATCTCTCTTCCATTACTTTCTTTTAACCCTTAAATTTTCACATTCAAACCACTGAAAAAATGGCTGCCTTTTCTTCGTTTCAATTCGGCTCTTCAGTTTATCTGCCGAGCTCTCCCATCGGTAACTCCCTCGAGGAAATTACAAACATGGCTTCTTTTCAATTTTATCAGCCGGAAACTCTTCAAAATCTCGATCAGAGCACAAAAGTTTCGACTCTAATTAGTGATATCGAGCCTTCTTTGAGCCATGTCACAAACAAGAACATTAGCATGGATAATTCTTCATTAATAACAGATCCAATACACTGCATGGACAACAAGAAGAGGAAATTGAAAGTGGGTTCTTCTTCAAATTCTGCTCAATCCAAGGTTCATTTCTGTACATAAATATTCATATACATTAAAGTCCCGTTCATCCAGTCTTGTCGAGTACGCACTGTGTACTCATTAAGTTTATGTGTATAGGGTTCAAGGGAAGTGAAGATAAAGAAGCCAAATAAACGCAAAGATGTTGAAAAGAAGAAGACAACGAAGGAAGACGAGAAAAATGCTGAAGAAGAAAAAGCGCCATCTGGTTACATTCATGTAAGAGCAAGGAGGGGCCAGGCAACAGATAGCCACAGCCTTGCAGAAAGGGTACTCAAAAAACTGTTCTTTAAGTACTTCTATAAGAAAATATAAAAAAAAAAAATCCTATTAAATTACCAGAATTTGGAGTATGGATTTTCACAATTTATTTTCAAATCATTTCAGGTGAGGAGGGAAAGAATAAGTGAAAAAATGAAGCTTCTCCAGGCTCTTGTTCCTGGTTGTGACAAGGTGAATATTATAAATCTCAAATAATATTACAGTTAGAAGAGCACAAAAAATTTAACATTTTCCTCGTCCGAGGGGGGAGTACAATGAAAGAAATAAAGAAACTACACTGAGTGTAGTGTCTTTGTGGGTCCTAATTACATTCAGACTCACTGCTCGAAAGAAAATTTGTCGGAAAGTCGATATACATAATTGTCTCTGTTTATAGATATTCTATTCTGTTCAAAGTTCTTTATCCGACAGCTTCAAGTGGATTGAGTGATAAACAGGTAACTGGGAAGGCCCTTATGTTGGATGAAATAATCAACTATGTCCAGTCCCTGCGAAATCAAGTCGAGGTATAATGTTTTTCTCGTCAAATTATCTAATTATACACAATTTCAATTTATAAAAAAATTAATATATGTTTTCATTATATTCAGTTTCTCTCGATGAAGCTCGCTTTGACTAATCCCATGTTCCACGACTTCCGGATGGACTTAGAACCATTCATGGTTAGACCTGATCAGGTACATAAATTTATCTTAATGAACAGTATATATTTTTAAAATTTAAAATAATATTTCTTTTTAATTTTTTTTCTGTGTTATATAAACATGCAGAATTTATGCAGCCCTACACAGACACCAGCAAATGACTATCCTCTACTGGATAATTCGTCTAATATCCTTTTGTTTCAACAGGACCAAATGCCCGATATTTTCTCAGGGTACAGACGAACAAGATTTTAGTTCTATCTTAATCTCAAGAACGTTTTACAAAAATGACGAATTTTACGTCATTTTCAGGAGAATGGACAGTTTTTGTGGGAAGTGGATGAACTAAGACAAAAGGCTATTAATCAGCAGGAATCAAATATAATTTGTGTACATAAATTTATCTGGTAAGCAATCAATCACTGTCTAATTAAAGTATGAATAATTCTTAATACAAATGAAAATCATAGATTAAAAAGATTATCATCTTTTCAAATGATGTTTTGTCCTACTTTACCATGTTTAAGATATCCCAAAACATCATTAATCCATGATATAGGAAAAGAAAATTATGTCAAACTTAGTATATTTCACCAACCATATCATATTTTATCTATTAGAGTTTATCGAATAAAAATAAATAAATAAATAAATTTATTCCTTCTATGTTAAACCTCTCTTTTGAATCTTTAAATATTTTTTTATCATATTAAATATCTCCTCCAAAATTTTAAATTATTAGAGATGGGAGGCGTATATTTATTTTTAGATTAAATTGTTGTCTATACAAGTTCTGTTAACGTTGTTAGGAATTTGCAGGAGCAAAAAAGGAAAAAAATTAAGGAAACAAATGAAAGAGGTGATTCCTTAGTATAATTTGTAATGGAGAACAGGACAGGAGATGGTGGTGATCTGAATAAAGGGCATGATGCAAAAATCAGTGGATGCTAGAAGACACAAACTGGACCGACCAAATAAAACCAAATCTTTAGCAGATCCTTTTGTTCTTGTCCAAATTTCACTCCATTTTATGGGAGAACAGATTCCTGGACATTTGCCTTTTCTAGTTGAAACATTAGATACGTTAGTCAAAAATATAATGTAAATCTTTTCGATGCAGTTCATTTAGTATGTATATTTTCTTGTCCATTGCTATTCAATTTATTTTTCAGTAACAATGTTCGCTCTATATTACTGTCGCTATTGTGAAGTACGAACGAAGAGTCACATCGGAGAAGTTTATGCAACAAGTCGATCCAAGATATGTTCAAATTAATGTACTTTTCAACTTATCTCTTGAGGCGTCTCATACAATTCTATGTGGTGGGTGAAGGTATCTAGGATAAATATAGCTGATTTTCTATTTATTAAAGAGAGGGCAATGATTAAAATATAGTCGATAAATTTTATTACATGAGTTTTTTTTTTTTTTTGTTTATCATATTAACTCTTGTCCGGTCGAGCATGCAAAACGCGTTCTACTTATTAAAGAAATGGAAATGATTAAATTCTATTATGGTGTATAATTTCTTTTTATTAAGGTGGCATATTTTTGTCAATTCTCGTCTTTGTTTTTGTCGAAAACTTCATTAAACTAAAGACTCGGATAATTCAATTTGAAAATTAAGTGTTGGGTTGTTAGCAAGGTGCGACATAAATGGTTGTTGAATGTTGGGTATTATTAAGTTCAATTGGGCACAAAATTAGTACTTTGTATACTTATGTCGCATCGTATATAACAATTGCATATTATGAAATGCTTGGTTCGATCTACTTGGTGTCGGCCATGATATTCCAATAAGGGGAATTGACCAAAACGATTAATTAATTAATATAAATTGAAAGTATAGAAAAGTTTCATTTTTGAGTGTAAAAAATAAAATAAATTTTTATTTGGGCAAGTAAAATTTCCTTTTTTTTATTGTGGAAAGGAAACTACGAAGGAGGTGGACGTGGACACTAAATTGCATAACTATAATCACAAAATCAATAATTGTTGTTTAAGGGGATCGAGAGATATAATACTTCATTAAAATATAATTCAAGACCCACTTGTGAAAATTTGGATTTCATCTCGAAAGGTTAAGTGACCTATTAGGTGGATATATATCCATTTTCCTAGCTACAAACCTTATTGTGAAAAAGAGAGAATATTGGAGAGAAAAATATATCTTTCATATGATAGAAATGAAGTGAATTTACAATATAAACATAGAATGAAAAGAAGTAAAATGGCGGGAATTACAGTTATGACAGCTCATCAAATAATATAAAATTACATCTAGCTACTTCCACCAACTTTGATATTCCCCCTCAAGATGGACGATGCAAGTCAATAACAGCCATCTTGGATAGAAAGGGAAACAGAACTGATGCTGGTAATGGTTTTGTGAAAATATGATGATTAGTTCGAACTGGTAATAACTCGATGAAACCATCATTTATCTTATCCCTTACAAAATGGTAATCTATCTCTATATATTTAGTTATCACAGAAAATGAAAGTAGGAACTTTGGAGTTTATGTATAGATCAAGGAGCAATTGATGAATCCACATCAGTTCATTTGCAGTAGAGGCCAACGCAAGGTACTCAGCTTCTGCAAATGATCTAGACACGGTGCTTTGTTTCTTAGCTTTCCAAGACACCATAGAATCTCCAAGGAAAACGCAAAAACCCATGGCTGATTTTCTGGAATCTAAACATGCCCCCCAGTCTGTATTAGCAAAGGCACGCAACTATAATGAAGATTCAGCAGAAAACAGAAGACCTTGGCTTGGAGTAGCCTTGATGTATTGTAATAGGTGATGAACTGCTGTCAAGTGAGGCTTTCTAGGCTGAGAAACAAATTGACCGAGTTTGTGCACCGCAAATGTAATGTCAGGTCTAGAAATAGTAAGATAGAGCAATCTCCCAACCAATCTTCCGTACATAGAGCTATCTTCCATTAACTCTCCCTCAAAGGAGTTCAAACGAACTTTGAGATATATAGGAAATGTAGTAGGCTTGCAGGCAAGGAATCCTGTATCCTCCAGTAAATGAAGTGCATAATGTCTTTGAGACAAGACAATCCCTTGGCTAGATATAGCAATCTCTAAGCCAAGAAACATTTAAGCTTCCCCATATCTTTGAGCTTAAATTGCTTGTTTAAAGTAGATTTCAAATCATCGTTGACTTCTAAGTTGGATCCAGTGATGACTATGTCATCAACATACACGGGGAGGGCAACAAAACTTGTTCCAGTACCCCTAGTGAATAATGAATAATCAAATTTTGACTGTTGAAATCCTTACAGCAAAAGAACATGAGAAAACTTAGAAAACCACTGTCGGGAAGCATGCTTCAATCCGTATATGGATTTTTACAATCTACAGACTAGATGCTTCCCCTTTTTGTGAGATGGGATAGAAGGACTATAACCCAATGGTAAGTCCATGTAGATTTCTTTAAACAAATCATCATGAAGAAATGCATTATTAATGTTCAACTGAATAATATGCCATCGATTTACAACAGCAATAGCCAGTAGAAGTTTCACAGTTACTAACTTTGCCACTGGAGAATAAGTTTTCAAGAAATCAAGTCTCTCTTGTTGAGTATATCCCTTTGCCACTAATCGTGCTTTTTATCTATCAACGGTCTCATCAGATTTATACTTAACTTTGTAAACCTATTTGCATCCTATAGAATGCTTTCCTTTAGGCAAAGCAGTGATGAACCAGGTTTTGTTCTGTTCCATAGCAGCCAACTCAGTAGCCATGGCATCTTTCCAATGAGTGTGTTGCACAGTTTGCTGATAGTACTGAGGCTCAATGTTGGATGAGATATTGAGAAGAGCGTAAGTCTGGGAAGAAGAGAATCTATCATAAGTGATGTAATCACCGAAGAGATAAGGATAAGAGTTATTATCAGTAAGGATTGTTTGGTGAGATAAAAGATAGCAATGAAAATCCTTTAAGTATGAAGGAGGTTTGTTATGATGAAAAGACCTTCTGATAGGTGGATCAGAAGGGACATTAGTAGGAATATCGGTGGAAATGATATGTTGATCTGGAGAGGTAGGAGATGAAACAAGATTTTGAGAAGGTGAATTGATAACATTGTCTGATGACATAGACTGATTTGAGTCTGGATGAATGACACGAGAATATGATAATGTATAAGCATTATCAGGAAGAGGATTAGGAAGAACAAGATGTGGAAATTGATCAATAAAATCAGCAGATTTTGTGATAGAGTGAAAAGGAAAAAATTGTTCATGGAAGATCACATCCCTGGAGATAAAGAAACCCTTTGACTCAATATCATATAGCCTGTATCCTTTGATACCAGGATTGTAGCCAACAAAAACACAAGCCTTTGCTCTAGGCTAAAATTTAAGACGATGAGAAGGAAGAGTGGATGCAAAACACAAGCTCCCAAAGAACCTAAGAAAGTTGTAATCAACAGGAGCTTTGTAGAGGAAAATATATGGTGTCTTGCATAGCAAAATTGGTGAAGGAGTTCTATTTATCAGGAAGGTTGCAGTGAGGACACGGTCACCCCAAAAAGATATAGGAACTTGAGCCTGGAAAAATAATGCCCTAGCCACATTAAGTAAGTGTTGGTGTTTTCTTTCGACTACTGAATTCTGCTCAGGTCTTTCTACGCAGAAAAATTGGTGTAGAACACCCTTTGAACTAAAAAATTCTGTGAATTGTAATTCAGGGGCATTGTCCAATCTGAAGGCTTTAATCACTTTATTATCTGAAGGCTTTAATCACTTTATTAAACCGTGTCTCAATGAGTTTGAAAAACCTGGGAATTATATGATGAACATCTGACTTTTGCTTCATTAAATAAACCCAACTAAACCTGGTACTATCATCAACGAGAGTAAGAAAGTATCCGTGTCCATCACGTGTTGGAGAATTGTATGGACCCCAAGTGTCACAATGAATGAGGTCAAACACATTAGCAGCTAAGTTATTGTTTGATATAAAAGACAGCCTTCTCTATTTAGCTAAAGGGCAAATATAACAAGGTGTAACGCATTTATCATTCTTAAATTTGAGCTGATCCTTCAGAGTTTCCAGCCTTCTAAATGACAAATGATCAAGACGATTATGCCAAACATATGAAGACACATTATTTAAAACAGAAAAAACAGATTTACAAACATCACCAAGTTTACAAACATCATTAGAAGTATTACACTTATTATTGAATTCATCATATATGACATCAACAATATAGAGACCTCCAACTCTCCTAGCCCTACCAATCATCCTCAAGCTGCACATGTCCTGAATATCACAATGATTAGTGAGAAAATTGACACTTATGTTGGAATTTCTCGTCAAAGAACTGA